ACCTCCTTACCCCTTAGAAATTTATAGCTGCAATTGTCACAGCTGTTTTCTGTTACTATCCCTTCATATCATCATTGAGCCATAAAAACTGTTTTCTTACGATGTGAGGACTTAAGACCATAAAGGAGCACTGCAGCTGGCCTACTGCCCATGCTAGGCAGGTCTAAGTCACCTAGTGGTCTAAGCCTCTGAATTTTAGGTCTTGTCAGCCATGGGTTCGAGCCCCACCTGACCTGCGATTTGTCTAATAGCTAGACTTCCAGTATAGAAAAATGCCTAGTTGGATGAATCTTCTTGGGCCAGCATGGACCAGGGGTTCAGCACGCTGACCTGTGAGTTCTGGGACTCGCCTGACGTGGGTTCAGGCCTCATCCATTCTGTGATTTGACAGGAATTGTGTTGTTACAGTTTTAGGAGTCTTTAACTCTTCCTAGTTATTGTCAGGTAATTTTAAGTTCTGATTTAAGCCTACCAGAAATGCTTTGCATAACTATGGGCCTTTAAATATAAACCAGTCTGTAACACTAATGTACCTTATTGTAAAATGTACATTTAGTTATTAAATCTAAAATGACCAAATACAGTGGACCCCCGCATAATGATTACCTCCGAATGCGACCAATTATGTAAGTGTATTTATGTAAGTGCGTTTGTACGTGTATGTTTGGGGGTCTGAAATGGACTAATCTACTTCACAATATTCCTTATGGGAACAAATTCGGTCAGTACTGGCACCTGAACATACTTCTGGAGTGAAAAAATATCGTTAACCGGGGCTCCACTGTATTTTGCAGTTCATAAGACAATTTTTAACCCGTAAACGGTCCAAATGTATACATACGTTTTTTTCAACATTTGAAAGCATGTAAAAAAAGTAGATCTTCTTTTTGTTTTTTTACATTTGAAAATGTGTAAAAAAAACTTTGATCTACTTTTTTTTTTTTTCGTTATATTTGAAAATATGTAAAAAAATCGTAGATCTACTTTTGTAGCACTACACATGTGAACGTAGATCTGCTTGGACCGTTTACGGGTTAAATTATGGAAAATATAATAAGCAATTTGCCATATATGAAGCATCATTATAATTAATATACATTTACAGCATAAAGTGATAATTTACCCCATTCACTAAACCTTTTAAGATACATACTTTTCACTGGATGAAATCTTTAGGAACTTGGGATTATATTTCAGAGTAATAGTATTGTATTTCCAATATGCTTACTTTAGTTTTATTTTGGTCATTAGTAAGACCTTGAGGACTGAAACTCTTAAGTTTTATTTTTCAAAAGTGTAATTCATTTATTTTTGAAATAGCATTGTCTTTGGGGAAATTACTGCCAGGGAGAGAGTCATTTAATTCCAGCATGTATTTATGGCTGTTACCTCTGCCATGAAATCTGTACTGGTGAAGTTGTATCGTGTTAACGGAAGTTATCAGACAGCATGACATCCTGTTTTAGTGACCAAAACACAAAGCATTTACTTTGCTTGCCAAGTGCTAACTGTACAAAACAATATCTGTAACATTACAATCAATCAAATATAAAAATTTTAGTATATCCAAAAGTAAAAATTTTTGCTTCTTCCAAAGTTGTCTGGGGACAAGAAAAGATCCCTCTCAAACCAGGACAGTCATGCAGAAATCCACTGTAATCTAACATACTCGCACGTGCCTCCTGATTGGTTAAGCACCACTTAAAACCTTCCCTCTCCTACTAGGATGTTCCCTACACCTGCTTCCATCCACCCCAGCTTTTGTACACCTTGATCGTCTTCTCTTGTTCCATCTTTTCTAATGACCAGACAAACTCAACTGCTCCTCTCTGAATTGTACCTTCACAAATATAAATAACTGATTTCTTCACTAGTCTTGTAGTTTACATATAATATTGTTAGGCAGAAAAGAAAGCCACAAGCTTGTGGTGCATTTCAGGCAGACTAATACTAATGCTTAAAAACTACTTAAGAGCTAGACTGTTTTCTTTGTCCCTTATTCTCTGTATAACATTATACCACACATTGATATCAGCCTATATAGCTATTAACAGGATGTCACAATTGACCAAACACTTATGACTTGAGAAAATGAGAACTTTTGTTCAACCATTAGGCAAGAGATTAGAGACATTAGCATTTCGACACCACTGCTGCTACTCTCACCGAAACATGATGTTTGCTCTCTCCCTCCCACAACACAACAGTTTATCACCCAAACACCTTTTTTTTGGGGGGGGGGAGTGTTTACCTCCAGTCATCTCCCACTAGCTTTGCTTTATGTGAATCCCTATAAATCTCCTGTCTATATATAGCATGATTTTCTTGTAGATGTTATTGAGAAAGTGAGTCAAAACTTTAATAGTGTATATTATGCATGCCTGTCCATTTTTTTTATATAACTTTTCATTCGCATTTACAGAAGTGTTATTTAATTTTGGATACAACCCTTACAGTTTCATTTACAAATGTACTATTCAGTTTTGGATTAACCTTTTCAATTGCATTTATGACTGCGCTAGTCAGTTTTTGGATATAACCTTTTCAGTTGTGTTTACAGTATATGAGGATAATACTCCATTAGTTTTCTGGCATGAGGAGAGGGGATAGCAGCCGAAACTCACACGTTAGCAGTTGATAAGTTTATGTGATACACTTCCTTTCCATGCATGTTATATTTTCTTGTTTTTTTCCACGAACCATTATTTTGCATGCATTTCCAATTTTGTTCATTGGAGGCTTTCTCAGTAAAGTAAATCAAATTATTCATTAGTCTGTGATCTACTAAATTAACGTAGTCTGTGGTTCAGTAAATCAGTGCATTAGTCTGGGGTTCACAGAATTACTGTGGAATTAACAAGAAGTAATCCATTAAGGATGGTATCCACATAATGCTGAAAACACTGCTGTTTGTTATTACCATGGGTTTCAACCCCCCCATCATTCCATGGTCTGTATGTTGTTATGCTGTGGTGAGTGGGTAAGAATCATCCTGTGACTGATTGGCAGTGAATGTGCTACTGGCATTGAGATGTACATGATACTACCCCAGTTGCTGAGAGGGATGAGGCAAGATAATATGCCCCTGACCACCTGAGTACCCAGACGAGGCCATGTGTGTTGCAAATATACGGATCATACAAGCACATGCTGCAGGATGGACTTAGAGATCACTATCAAGATGTTCCTGGCTTTATACTGTAGATATGTTGAAGGACAATGTTAGCTGTGCTGGTGCAGTCAGGCAGCAATACTTTTGCATACTGCAACAAGAATCTTCAGTGCATTTTGTGAACCTCGCTGATCTTGCATGGTGGGTGCTTGTTGCACATGTGCAGTTACCTATGGAAATGGAGGCATTGCATAAGGCAGTATGCTTCATCTACAACAGGTGTCTCCTTATGTGGCTGTTATAGATATAAAGGGACTAATGCATTACTTCTCGTTTTTTTTCCACTTAGCATCCTGTAGCAATTCAAGAAACTACTGACTACAGCATTAGTAGCAGTGACCCATGCTGCTGCTGCTGCTCTTGGAATGGGTTGCTTTTCCTCATAAGCTTTAAGTTTTATTGTAATGTGTGAAGGCATGATCTTCCTTTTGAAGGCATGTATCTTTTTCTTGAAGACTTTTATCCTCCTCTTGAAGGCATGAACTTTCCCTTTACCCTTGCACCACCTACTAATCCCTACCACCTGATGGTCCTCTGGATCTTGTGACAGCAGGCTGGGTATATCAGAGGGTAAAACAATACACAAATAACCTGCACATAGGAGAGAGGAGTTTATGACGACGTTTCGGTCCAACTTGGACCATTTACAAAGTCGTCATAAGCTCCTCTCTTTGTGCAGGTTATTTGTGTATTGTTCCAGTCACGGCATTGTGCCTTTTTGTTATTTAGGAGTAAAACATTGGAGTACAGTAAAGCAGAATCACATTGAAAAATAAACAGCCTTTATTGAGCCCAAACAATAAGAATGGTGTGAAGTATAAGAATGGACTGAACTATTGTGAGGTGAGAAGAGGTTGTGTATATCACTGTTATGAGAAGTAAAGAGAGGCTGTATATGTCAGTGTTGTGAGACGTTAAGAGAGGCCGTATATATCACTGCTGCGAGAAATTAAGAGAGGCCGTATATGTGACTGCTGCGAGAAGTTAAGAGAGGCCGTATATGTGACCACTGCGAGAAGTTAAGAGAGGCCGTATATATGACTGCTGCAAGAAGTCGTATGTGTATACTGTTGGTAAACGAGTACGTAGCTAAGTGAGGAGAGGCTGTATTTTCTCTTGTGTGTTGTGCCTTTTAATTCGTCATTTGTATCAATATTCTGAGTTAAAAATACCACTTTGAATTTTTCCCTCATCATCTGGTGCCTCAGGAACATAACCCTGTTAAATATGGAGGTTTGACTCGGTGGTGATTATTTTCGTGGGTTGGATATTGTTCTCATGTACTGTACTAGAGTTAATACTCATGCTCCGAAGATACTATTAATGTTTGGGAGATCGTATTCATGTACTGAGGGTACAGTAGTGTTTGTGTAATGCTTCAGTAATGAAAAGGGTGCTTATTTAGTAAAGTTAGTGCTGAGGTAGTCAAGTTAGTGTTTATTCACTATAGCAAAGTTAGTGCTAAAGTAGTAAAGATATAGTATAATTTAAATAATGTAAGGTGTGAACTCATATTAAGTTGTAATATACAGCTGTCAACGAGTAAACAGAAGGGTGAACAAGGGAGGGATCAAACCATAGTCTGGACCGTCAATTTACAGACCGTAGTTCAAGCCCCTCATCCACCCTTCTGTTTATGTAATGTAAGGTGTTATTATCCCTTCAATTGATTCCTTTTCACAAAATTCTTGGTGTTTTTGGACAAATTTATGATATACAGTATATATAACTCCAGGAAGGAAGATGGTATACTTCACTTTATCTCACTCAGTCGCTGGTTAACATCTAGGTTATTTACAGTTGTCTATTTGTTTTGTCTTGTTCACAGCCACCTTTTGACCCAATTGGCCCCCCTCGATATTATGATGGTCCTCCATTACCTGAGTATCCAGCGTCACGATCACGCTCCGAAAAGAGACCTTCAGCTGATGTAAGTATGTGCTAGTTAAGTAAAGGCTAGGAAAATTTGAGAACATATATATAAGCAATTAGTTATTGCCATTTTAGTTTTAATCTAGGCTTAGGTTTGCCCAAAATGCTCGGCATAACAGTGGGCTTTCTGACTCAAACGCCACAGAACGGGTGAGGTTTGAATCCTTGGTGAGTTAGTTGTTAAACTCCAGGCCTTTCTGCATGTACACCTAAATGTCAACCATCACTGTACAAACATTGTATCATGCTGAAATAAATATTAATATTAAGTGAATTGGGTTATCCTGACTCTTGGTCTAAGGTGAAACCTTAGACCAAGACTTTGACTCTAAATTTTGTAAGCTCTCTGCAGCAGTGATTTGAACAAAATGCCATAAGTAGAGATCCTTCAGGTACATACTCTAACCCTTTCAGGGTTGGTACCATAGTACTATGGGTTTGAGGTGACCTCACTCAGATAAGCTGTCAATGATAAATTTGAGGCCTGGATATGAACCATATAAAATAATTTTGCCCCATACAGTGCATAATAGGGAAAAAAACTGTGACCGTGTTTTTCGTTTAAAAGGACATTGTGGTGTAGTTTCGTTGTGGTTTCTAACCCTTTGAGGATCTGTCCCGTAGTTCTATGGCTTTGAAGCCATAGTTCTACTCCATGAGCTCATCTCACTCAGGTAAACCGTGAGCAGCAAATTTGGTCCTAGATATGAGAATACATCTATGTAGATAAAGTGGGTGCAGGATTTTCCTGCTAAGGAGAAAAGAGTAATTACTCTGTGTAGTTGCAACAAGAACTGAACTCTAGCAAGGAGAGGAAAGTATTCCTCGTGATGCTTGGGTACAAACCCTTAAACGGTCCAAACAAATCGACGTTCAAATCCGTAGTGCTCCAAAAGTAGATCTACGTTTTTTTTTTTACATTTTTTTTTTTTTTTTTTTCAACAAGTCGGCTGTCTCCCACCGAGGCAGGGTGACCCAAAAATAACAAAAAATATGTAGATAAAAGGTTTATGCACATTTTTAAATGTAAAACAAAGAAGATCTACATTTTTTACATACTTTCAAATGTTGAAAAAACGTATATATACGTTTGGACCATTTAAGGGTTAATAAATATGTTTGCCAGGAAGGAAGAGTCCACTAGGCCCTTAAAGAATACATAATGAACTACAAGGGAAGTTTACTGTTGTAAGTGTTAAAACCACAGGAGACTTTAAAGAGGTAATAATGTTGGTAGAATTACCAATAGTATATTATGGTAAAAGAGGACAAGTACAACTAGTGTGACATTTTATTGTGGCAACGTATCACTCTCTAGGAGATTAGTCAAGCCATTACGACTTGACAAAGCTGGAGAGCGAAACTTTGCCACAGTAAAATATCACATCAGTTGCACTTGTGTCCTTTCATTTAAAAAGGTACTTGAAAGTATTGAAGACAGGGCAGCACAAGCTTAACTCTGCTCCCGTAGCTACAAGTAGGTAATCACAAATAGATATGATAGTCAACATAGCAAATTAAGCACAAGCCAAATTGGCTGGTAGCTATGATGCAAAACATTAGAATTGAGACTTTTTGGGGATTAAGGAGATTTTTTCCTATCCAAATTTTTTGGATTAAATCCTCCCCAAAAAAAGTCATGGCCTCTTATATTCTTGGAGGCCAGAATGCTGGATTATTAAATTCTCATTGTATTAATGTATTGTGCTTGTGTTGTAGGCATTTTGTAGAGTGTAGATATCATTTGTAATTGGTAGTCTTGATATTGTTAATAATTAATGTGTAGTCTTTATGGCACTGATGATATTTGTGAGGGGAAAATTTCTAGTGATTCAGGTTAAAGTTACATGATGATCTACCCACTGTAGCTTTTAAAACCAAAACTTATTCCCTGACCTACTGGTCGACTCTGTAAACAGTTAAATTTCACGTTATAGTGTAGGACCTCTCAGCAGTTTCCAGTCTATTACAATACTGTAAAAATAATTTTCTCCATAGGGAAGTGGAACAATTCTTCCTCTGTAAGCCATGCGTGCCGTAAGAGGTGACTAAAATGCCAGGAGCAAGGGGCTAGTAACCCCTTCCTGTATAAATTACTAGATTTAAAAAGAGAAACTTTCACTTTTATTTCTGGGCCACCCCACCTTAGTGGGATACAGCCAGTTTGTTGAAAGAAGAAGAAAGATAATTTTATTAACAAATTCTTATACTGAATTTAATATTAAATAAAATTAAAAATTTAATTTAAAAATATAAATGTAATATGTGAACTGTCATATCTGCACGCCTCTGGCAAGATAGTGATAGTGTTTCTTTTTTCGGGTCACTTCTGCCTTGGTGGGAGATGGCTAGCACATTAAAAAAAAATTATTGAACATTAATTATTATATATCTTTCCAGCCTTATGATCGTAGCGTGGACGAGTTCTTGCAGCGAACTAGGGACCGGCGAGAACGAAGTCGTGAACATCGATATCGAGAACGTAGATAAAGCACACTTTTTTTTTTTTTTTAACTTAGTTTTGATATGATCTTAAGAAACATGAAATGGACCAAAATGTGAAGTGGCAGACACTACACGTCGTCTCTAGATGTGTGGTAGAGGCGGAGAAAGTGGACTAGAGAAAGCAAGAGAGGATACAGGTAAACAGATGCACTTGTGTTAAAACCATTAATGCTCCAAAAAGTATTTTGGAAAGCTACCTCACGTATTACCTCTGGCGAGTGAGTTAGAATATGTAAGTCATCGTTAGTTATAATTCGTCTTCATTCTGCCGTGTTTATTTTGATATACGTATAACTAAAATTCTCCTTTTGTAACACATAGAAATGAAACTATTATTATTTGTATATAAGTAAGGTAAAAGTGTGTATTGTGTTTTTCATACTCTAGATGTATAACATAAAAAGCGAGAGTGCAAATAGAGTTTATAAGACATTCATATACCATTTAAAAATATTAAATAATCTTATACTGTATTTGCTGTTTATTTTCCCTCTCTACATTCAGCATTTTTATTTTCGGTGTGCGTGCATGTGCACACACACAAATGTATTTTCAGGTACGTACACTCGCATCTTCCTTGCTTGGGTTCATTGGTTCGAACCTAAAGCGTTAAAACATAAATTTATTATATCAGTTTGTTGACTTGGTTCCTGGATGTGGGAAGTACAGTGTCTGCACTTTGAAGGTGAGGTAGGAATAATTGTAGTAGCATCGGCATGCCTCTGGCAAGACAGTGATGGAGTGAATGAGTTTCTTTTTTGGGTCACCTGCCTTGGTGGGAGACAGTGAAGCCAAAACACATGTTAGAGGAGAAGATAATAGAATAAAAGTGGTGGGAGAGATATACTACTATTTAAATGATTAAGATTGTTACCATAATTTTGTAAATTAAAACTATAGAGAAGGCAAAGCAAAGGAATTTACAAGAGAAGAAAGTTGGCATAAGAGTGAACAGTTTGAGAAAATGAGAAACCTCTGAGTTGTGTGTGAGAGAATTGGGAACAAATCGACAGCCTTCTAATAGCAACTGAATAAAGATAGTTCATAATAATGTACACTCTGTGACTAAGTGATAAACCCATAAGGGTCATACAGTGCTGCCACAGAGTTCAGAAAATTCCATATGAGTAGCCTACAAGATAAACATGTACGCCATAACTGAGAGAGCTTAGTGTTCAACATGTACAGCACCAATGTAGTGTAAAGAAGAATCAAACAGAAGTTACTAGTATGTATAACACTGATGTGCTATGTAGGGAAGCAAGTTAAATAATTAAGAAAATATATTTATCTTAAGTAAATTGAAATATTTTATTAGTGCATCAAACATAGTTGACTATCCTATGTAAAGTTTAACCCTTAAACGGTCCAAAGAGATTGACGTTCAAATTCGTAGATCTACTTTTTTTACATATTTTCAAATATAACAAAAAAACAAATGTAGATAAAAGCTTTTTTTTACAAGTTTTCAAATTCAAAACAAAAAAGATATACATTTTTTTAAATACTTTGAGATGTCGAAAAAACATAGGTTTGGACCATTTAAGGGTTAATGCTGCAGCAACATCTTGTAGGCCAAGTTTCATAGCAGATATTGTGCTGCATCTTTCAAGACTGTCCATCCCAGGCTTCATTTCACAGTAACAGAAGATAGTGTGCTGCGGTGGACCCAGCATTCCTAGAGTTAAGATATGTCGCACAAATAATCTATTGTCTAAGACAGAGAAAGGTGGAAGATGAGTTCCATTTTGTTAAGATTGACTCTAGGCTGAAGGACTCTGCATGCTTCCTAGACTATATATATTATTATTATTATAATCAAAAAGAATAGACTATATATAGTTTTACCTTATGAAAATTTGCTGTCCTATTTATTTTCTGTTCCATTTGACTAATTGATTTCACATGGGAAAAGAATGAGTCAAAGATTCTTTTATGTAGAATAGGGTTCAGGGTCTTAATGAACTCATTATATAAGTTCCAAGATGAGTGATCACATTGGACTATGGAGATGAATACTTTTCAAGGCTGAGGGAATGATCTCCAATATATAGTCAATGCTGTATTCCACTAAAGATGCCTGTAGAACAGGCTATAAAGATCCCCAACAGTTGTATATCTTATTCATCCGATTTACTTTGGTTCTTTTGCCATGACCGTGTGTCAACTTAGAAAGGGTATTATTAAGTTCAATATATAACTTTCTTCAATTAAGTTTGGTTGAGGTAAATTATTGAAACAATGACTTCGTTAATATATATTTATACCCACTTATGTCTACACAAAAATAACTCAAGTCATCTCTCATAATATATTACAGTTGTTCGTTTTTGCGTCTCGTATTTCTTATAATATTTTATTTACAGAAGTTACATGATTCCTATTATTGTGCTATTATAACCAATAGCAGCACAAATTATATATATGAGTAATTATCATACAAGGGTTTTAAAGAGTATATCCTGTCCGTGTACTGAAATTATCAAAAGCAAGTGTACCTGTAAAAGGACACAAGTGCAACTAATGTGACATTTTATTGTGGCAATGTTTCACTCTCCAGGAACTTTGTCAAGCCGCTTGACAAAGCTCCTGGAGAGTGAAACATTGTTGCACTTGTGTCCTTTTACTTTACATATTCTTGGTAATTCTACCAACATTATTACTACCTGGTTGATCAGGCTCTGATCCACCAGGAGGCCTGGTCACAGACCAGGCCACGGGGGCGTTGACCCCCGGAACTCTCTCCAGGTAAACCTGTAAAATGTTGACAATTCAATGTATACAGTTAGTGAGAGTATGCATGTGTGTAACACACAGTAGGGCCCCAACTTAAACATTAATTCAGGTAATTTGAAGCCTATTTTCCCATACACATCCGAATAATTGAGATACAACATTATATTCCTAATTTCATTTATTTTTAACATATAAAATATTCTATTAGTTTGCATTATTTCCACTTGGAAACATTCTTCAATGAATGTAAGTATACTATACATTGACAATTATTTATTACAACTTAATCTTGGTTCATCTGTGCGTTAATTAAACAGAAGATTATTTGTTTAAAAATTTTTAAATATTCATTTAAACTGTCCAAACATAGACCGACATTCTTTATGCAAAAAAAACATACATCTACATTTGGACAGTTTAAGGGTTAAAATTATTATAATTAATGGTTACAAAATATGAAGGAAACCAATTAGCTTGACATAGTCGTGGAGGCGGTAAGTACAGTGCCTGCACTCTAAAGTGATATCAGTGTGGTCACTCTACCTTGGTGGGAGACAGCTGGTTTGTTTTTTGCATAAGTCAAGGCCCTACAGCATGTATAATACTGTACACAGTTCATAATTAATGTATCCCTAATTTAGAAAACTGTTTTTTGTATTGAATTTGGAATGATCTACAAAATTTTGTTTAACACCAAAAGGAACAAGTCTTATTTCACCTTTTTCTGAATAAGAAAAGATGTACTGGAAATTTTTCAGTGATTTAAAAAAATTTAATTATTATTACAAGGAAAAGCTTAAATACAATGTCATTTTAAATTTCTTGGAGTTTTACAAAGTGAAAATTATATATATTTTTAATTGAGTTTTCTTAAACTGACTAGGTAAGATGTCTTCAGGATTTTCCAGACTATATGCTAATTCAGACAATCTAAGTATGCATTATTTTGAATAGGAGTTGTATAGATTTTAAGTCAGAGCAGGCAAAATTTTCCTTAAAATAAAAAGTTTATTCCTATGGATTCATAAATATTTTCACAAGAATTAATGTGGATTGATTTTTTTTTTTTTCACCAAAACTAACTTGGCAATTTAACCTAAACATACTACAATTTACATATGTACAACTTTAGCTAGTATAATTCAGCATTGACTAAATATAAGAATTTTGTTATTCCAACTGCCTTGTATTATAAAAAAAATTAATATATACATGTATATGCTTAGCGAGTTTGGCAACACGATATTTGCTGAATAACTCATGTTCAAATTTAGAAGCACAACAGACACAGTGAAGGCATAATCTTTGAATTGAACCCGAGTACCTCCCATTCCCCAGGAACTATATGACTCCTTATGTATTTAGTACTTCCCTCTGATTAAAAATAAACCCATAAAATGCACAATTGGACCTTCAATAAAGCACATATACACCAAAACTTTATATCCCCTGACACAAACTACACTACAGGTGCTCAACTTATGATGGGGTTACATTCCAATAAACCTATCATAAGCTGAAAGTATGTCATTGAATACATAAATAATTATTTTTACTAAATACCAGTACTGTACATGTAAATTTTTTTACAGTACCGTCAAACTATTATAGAGTGAGAAGCACCTGTATTCTCTCTACATTATTATTATATTAATTGGGAATGGAAGATAATCACCTTTCAACCAAAGAAAGGAATGTTGAAATTCCTCGAATTAAGAGTTCTTCAGCAGTACAAGTACACTCTCCTTGAAGGGATATTCTCTAAGTCCTTCACATACAGTGAACATTTGCTAGCTAAAAAATGTTGGCAGAGGTCTGGTCCCGACATGTTGGGATACTGGATGAGAAGTTAAGACACTTGTGTATACAGTACAAGTGTCTTGTTTGTAACAATGCATACATAGGAGTGTCTGAATTATAGATGATTCTGAATACTATACAGTAAAAGAAAAACTTCCAGTATTTCTCTTCTATGAAAATAAATGGTATAAAATACCGACACAATGGAAACAAACACAAATGCAGTTTAATGTGATCCTTTATTGACAACGTTTCACCCACACAGTGGGCTTTTTCAAGTTGCCCACTGTGTGGGCAAAACGTTGTCAATAAAGGATCACATTAAACTGCATGTGTTTGTTTCCACTTCTCTTCAAATTCAAAATTAAGAGATTTTCCCACACACAAGTAATATTCTTACGTTGACTCAGTGTTCACATTAAGTTGAATTTTGTTATATGTCTCATATATACTTATTAGGTACATACTCTTTAAGCCCAAATTAAAAGCAAATTAAACACAAGAATATTTAAAATTCAAATAAACATTTATAATGACTATAAACATAAAAAATTAATGGACATAAATGTAATAACTGATATAAGAATATGATGAAAATTACTCTGAGATTCTGATACATAAAATAATAATTATGATAAATACAGGTCATCTTACTGAATGACAGCTCAGTCAATTTGTTTAGCAACAGATATATTAGAGAACAAGGTGTCTTATGACAGCTTTACATTTACTGAAACTATTTCACTTATCAGACAACTAAAATAGGTAGTGTTCCCTCCCAGTAAGACCAACTCTATTTTTCACTCCATCATCATAAGTATAGTTGTGAAGTTAGAGTGAGCAATCTAGCCATTATTCATATTAGGCAATAACCTACAAGCTAAACTTCACCCAGTAATGGTTAAGCATGTCTAGACAAAAGTTCATTTATTTGCTGACATAAATGTTTTGATGCATGGGGAGAGTCAGTACATTCAGTTCACATGAAACGGGCATTCCTAGTCTTTGTGTCGAGGAGTTTAAAGTTTTTGGAATTCTTTACAGGAATGTCTTAATTATAATAGTGTGAATGCCAAAAGCTTCTTGGCTTAACATAAATTCACTTAAAGGTTTTGGTCGAGTGCATTGCTGTCATTAAGCAGGACGACCTATACTTTCTGGCATATGAAAATATTTTCTTATTTGGAGAGGTGTAGATGAAACTATACAGACTGGAAGTACTTAGGTACACTAATAGTAAATCTAACCTAATCTAAACATCATGTACAATACTTAATAAAAACAAACTTCTAAGTAATAAAAATTGTTACAAAATGGAACAACAGGTTTGTGCACTACAGTATACTGAAATAATCATAATAAAAACATATTTTTAAAAAATATTAAAATAACTTTGTAAATAAATATCCAACCAATTCTTATAAAAGTAATGGTGCTGTACAAGTCCAGGCTTACTTTTTATTGCATTTACAAAGTGACTTTTCCCCACTTATGTACACACTCTTCACAGGAAAGAGTTATCTTGAAGAGTTCCTGATCCAAGAAATTGGAGCTACCCTCCCCATTAATAAAACCTGATTACCTTCTGTTGCCAAGGTATTGTGTATAGTAATGAATACAATAAAAATAATATTGTGAACACTGTTATTATTATTAATAATTCCTGGTAATTTCCATTCAATTGAAAATATTTTTAGTGGCAGGGCAAGCCTGGCCCATGGCCGTTTTCTGAGAGTATAAAGACTAAACTCAAAGGGCACTCAGGTTTTATTCCTAGGCATTATAGGCAAATTTCCCTTGCACCATGTTCACACACCAGTGAAAATGGTGCATCCATTGTTATAGGTGGCATCCTGTATGGTGATAGTGCTGACTAAAAATTTTTTGGGTTCCTATATGTAGCAAGTACCTGCTACAGCTTTTTGTAAAAGAATTATCACAGTATTTCATAAAGCATAAAAATGAATCTTTTCAACATCTGTATTAAATGTCCAGAAAAACTGAGTCAATACCATTTAAGAAAACACATACAATGTAATTAAATAGTGATAACTCTCTTTAGAGGACTGAAGAAAATTCATGAAGAATGGAAGTCACAATACCATAACTGCAACAAATGACTCACAACTCAAAATAAAACTTTAGACAATGTTTATTTTGGACCAAAACATCGCCTAAAGTTCTCTAACTAAATTGCAAGTTAGTCCTGAGTAATTATTAATGTAAGGAGATACATATCACATGAGGTGACAGCCATTTCTAATCTGTGGGTGTGGGGTAAAAGTTCAAGAATACAGTAGTGAACTCTTGCCTGTACAGGGTTCACAAACATTAGAGAGACGTTCTTCAATTTTTTCCTGCCATGTTGAAGAGTACATTATATATTTTTTCTTGCATGACATATTTCCTTATTCTTAAACATAATACACTGGTGGAGTGCTGGGCCTGTTATTCAGAACCACAGTTCACACTTCCCATCCATCTTTCTTTCTATTTATTCACTGACAATTGCTCATTACTATTTGATAATACAATACTTCCTATCCACATAATTTTCTCTACTATTCCTCTTGATTCTGTTTTGCAAGCGTATCTAAAAAAATATAGCAAGAGTCAGGATTTTTCCCAACCAAATGCCTTTATAAAGAGCTCTTGCTTCAAAAAAATGGAGTAACCCTCTTCCACAGATCAAACCTGGTTACCTCCCTTCCACTGGTATTTTATAACCCCTGCAAGTTTATCATATATCCCTGCCAATGTAATCATCTCAGACAAGTTCTTTTTCATATCTGAGGAACAATTGAATTTTTCAAGGAAATTAATCTAATATACCTGTACCTTCTTATGCCAGAAGTGTATACAACCCAACTATCTTGTTAATTTATATTTAAAAATCCAACCATTTGGTTAATTTATATTTTGATATAATTATTGTCATGTTTTTAAAAATAAAATTTAACTAAACACTTAGGTGCACTAACATAACTTCGAAGGAAATAAAAAAAAAAAGTGATGGGCTTACAGTAAAAGATACGAGTTCTCGTATGATGATCCTAAAAGCATTACCCTATATCACAAAAACATTGTACAGTATATAACTTTGTCAGTTTGGGACTATACGTGGTTTCAGCAACACTTAAGTCGGCACTGGAACTAGTACTGTACTATCACCGACACTGCATGGCTAATTTTACAAGCCTTTCAACATTAATGACTTAACCTTTTCTTTGATCTATATATGTGTGTCCAGTCAAGAAAAATTCAACGTATGCCATAATTCATAATTAATCAACAATATAATCAATTTCAATAATGTAACTATACTAGACACTTAAGCCCATTTGTCACAGTATAATATAACCTTTGCATGTGATGATAACTATACAATTATTTTGTTCAGTGCAAAATATGGCTGCTGCTATTCTAATTTAACGCATAAATTTTATGATTATTGTTTGATAGATGCCAAGCTAATGGAATGCAATATTATACTTCAAATTTTATATTGGTGTTGATATAGGTATGAACTTTACTGTGACTAAATCATCACACACATGCCATATTTTACAGTGACTATGCCTATACATTTTCAATCATTCAAAAATGCTACCCACATGAGGCAAGAATCATACACTTCTCAGTCATTCTTTCTGCCTTACTCTAAAGGCCCTTTATACTTTGTTGAACCAGGGACGACTTACTATCCTATCTCATTGCAGCACACCTTGATGCAACTGCTGCTACCAGAGCAGCGCCACGCCCACTACCATCTTCGGAAAGCATAAGATCAAACTGAAATATAAAATGATATAGAATAAGCAAAATTTAAATCAGTGCTAGTAATAATACTTCATGAGAAGTGTAAAGCACCACAACAAAACTCAATGTTCACAATTTTTTTTTATGAGCAAATAATCATGTTAAATCTCATCTTTCTTCTTCCAACAAACCGGCCGTATCCCACCAAGGCAGGGTGGCCTAAAAAGAAAAACAAAAGTTTCTCTTTAAATTTAGTAATTTATACAGGAGGCTGACTAAAATGCTCCCGGCATTTTAGTCGCCTCTTACAACACGCATGGCTTAGGGAGGAAGAATTCTGTTCCACTTCCCTATGGAGATAAGACGAAATAAACAAGAACTAGGAAGAAAATAGCAGAAAACCCAGAGGGGTGTGTATTATATATGTTGTAATGTTGTAGTGTGTAAGTATAGAAGTAGCAAGACGTACCTGAAATCTTGCACGTTTATGAGACAGAAAAAAGGACACCATCATATAAAACAACTACAGGCTTTCGTTTTACACTCATTTGGCAGGACGGTAGTACCTTCCTGGGCGGTTGCTGTCTACCAACCCACTACCTGTAGTATATCTCATAAAAATACTCTATCAGTCCAAATCTTGGAATATCAGGTATACACTACACGTTGTGACCACATTTATACCTAATAGCTCAGCATACCCTGGATAGTATGGTGTACAGCTGTGGCATCTGATAAAAATACGTACCAGTAGACAAGGTAGGGAAAGTTCTAAGAACTACAAAATGGCTACCAGAGAAGGATGCCTTAATGTTGGTGAAGAGCTCCCAGTCTCAGGAATTTTAGTTAGCCTTTCCTTCCTGGCATCACAACCGATTAACTCTCATTTCCCAGGTGCTTTTTGTCCCCTATGAGTTTACAGCTTCCCCAGGTATATAATAACAAACATGCCCTCACTGGCTGATAGGAAGAAAAGAGAAGACATAATAACCACACAGGATTATCAAAGGATGAATGACAGATTTCCTAACACTGACAGGGAGACAAAGAGGTCACAGCTATAACCTAAGAAAAGCTATTGTTATATTAATAATGTACAATACCAACAAGCAGATGGATAAGACTTGCAACAGTTGGGTATCTTGAGTGTCTAATGTAAACAGGTACACCCAAATAAATAACAAAAAGGCACAATACCGTGACTGGAACAATACACAAATAACCCGCACATAAAAGACAAAGCTTACGACGACGTTTCGGTTCGACTTGGATCATTGACAAAGTCATACTAACAGAGGTGGAGCAGGACGGCTATATATAGGCAGGAAGAGGTGGTAGTAGTGTAGTAGTACAAGAATTGTATATAATACCGACAGGATGAAATTAAGACACATGCACAACGCCCGGGCATCCCCATCGTAGACGTAGCGTAGGTGTAGGTGACACCCAACTGTTGCACGTGTCTTATTACAAGAAAGGTGCCCAAAGAATACTGGAAATTTCTTCACAGTGGTAGAGCATTGGGATAATTTACAGGAGGCAGCAGCAAGTGCTACAACCACTGTGAATTATATAAATATAGATGAAACACCACTAGCTTAGCTATGTTCCTACAACTGTGTAGGATATATTCATCAAAAATAGAGCATACATGTAACAAGACAGTACACATGTATGAAATGAGAATTTTATAAGTGATCTTTAGCAACTAATTCAACTGTCCATTATCTGATAAACTCCTCAGGGGAGGTTCCTTGATACTGGTGAGGGGATTGAGGTCTGTGCTCCAATTCCCTCAATTAAGGCTAAATGCCTTCCATCCTCTCTCCCCCCCCCCAACAGGCGCTGGATAATCCCTCTGGGTCTAGTGATCCCCCTTGATAATAATAATAGCCAAAGATACTGCATTTACCCTTGGATTGCACCTGATTGCCTGTCCTTTTCCAGGTGTTATATGACCCAAACTTCCCCAGATTAAAATTAATAACACAAAATCTCTCCTTTACACACAAGGCAACAAGGATTATTATTATATTAAGAGAAAAAGCACTAAACCCATGGAAATCATATAGTACCTGAGAATGAGAGACAATCAGATTTAATCCAATTGGACATGGCCAATTCCTTGGATCAAGAGCTCCCTCACTAGCATCAAGGATCATCAGTACAAACACAGTGATATATCAACAGCTTTTGTACTGTTTGGGGATCTCCTGAACTTGTTTTATGGTAATGCTTAACCTTTCCAGGAAAAGGATGGGGGGGATACCTTAATGCTGGCTAAGATATTTTGATTCAAGAACTGGAGCTACTCTACCTTTGATTACATCTAATTACTTCCCCAGGCATTGTATGACCCTTACAGATGCAGTTCTTACCCATAAATATAATAGAGCAAAATCAAAAGTCCTTATTATATGATTTCATTTCTTGCTCATCCTTACCTTGATCCCTGGTTTGACAAGTTGTGAGATCTGTTCAACCATAAGGTTGTGGAAGTGGGGGTGGAAACGGTACACTGAGCCATCAACTGCCACCGTAACGCTCTCCTCACCGATTCGGTTGAGTAGAACAGAAACACCTGCAGCAGTTAAATTTGCAGCTCTCCTCGACACACACTCACAAACGTGACGAACATTTGCACAGTCAGCATCTGTAGCATCGTTGAATCCAAGTTCCTCCAAGATGGCACGACAGTTATTGAAATCTCCAGACTTATCACTGAAAGAAAATTTATGATGATCTAACTACATACATTATGATGCAGTAAATGTTAGAATTATCACTTAAGTTATTACAGCATTATGTAATCATATTCAGAGTTACAGATGAGGTCGTCTATTAAGTATGATCATAGCATCATGTATTAACAGACATCAAGATAAAGCACAACTTATCAGTGCCATTAGATTCCTTTAGAACTTTCATTTCATAGTCTTGTCTATTTTTTCTTACCCCTTTTAACTTTTTAATGTTAACACACTGGTACTTCAAGTAACTCCTTCCCTTCCTGGTCTGTTTTATGGGTTTTTACTAGGTTTGCTTTAATTATTTGGATGACCTAAAACATGATCATTCTTGATAATTTATTAGCAGAGAAACAGGGTAAAACCTCAATATTTTATGGAAGGTAAGTGTGGTACAACAGAGGACTGGGGACGTGATTAGTGAACAGAGGAAATGTTGCTTTAGTGCCTGGAATGCCTACAGTGTTTATTCTCAACTGTTTTGAAATTGAAATTCATTGAATTACATGTAAAACTGGCTGTGATAGTTGAATGGGCAGTTGCTTGTGCTTAATTAAAAGAGTGGAAGGCAAAATGGCCAAAAATTGGTTAGAGTAATGCAATTGGCCTAAAACAGGCTCAAGGTGGACATTTGCATAATGTGTCTCCCCCTCAACCTCCTATATTTTGCATTTTTGGTGCTGTTACTGTAGAAAAAGATTCCCTATCATTTCAGTTAGGTTAGGTAGAGATTCGCCAGTACTTCCGGCCCGGGTCTTCTCCCGATGGTGACCCGGCAACATTTAGTAAGTATTTTTTTTCTTTTTTAAATGAAACATTGAATTTCAGATTTCTGAATTATGAATGAGTTAAGTTTCTTAAAATTAAAGAACAAAGGCAAATTGTTCTCGAAATGATTGGCCTAAACAAGACAGGTGAATTTGCTCATCACCTGTGTTCCGCTAATGCTTATTTTGCATTTTTGCTTCACTGTAAAATTCCTATCATTTCTATGTCCTTGTAGAGCTTGATACGCTTCAGGATACAGGTCTCCCTCAATTGCGTTTTCAACATTTCGCGGCTTCAAATTTTTTTTCCAGAACTAATCTCATTTAATTTCGGAATTTACAGGTACTTTACCTTCCTCGACCCCTGACAAGGCAGCTTTTCCCGACATTCCCACCAACTGTAAGGTGAGTGTTTGTTTATTATTTAGCGTTAACTTAGTTATAATTAAACTCACTATATGCTATTTGGAATGGTATTTGGACAGGTATTCGAAGGTAACTTCATGGTTTACTTTTGAAGTCCCCAAATCAAACTTTTCTACTTTCTGTAATAATATAATTCAAATCCAAAATAATTAAAGAACTAAGAAGGAATGTACCAAACCCCGCGACCTGCATGGAGGGATGTTGAACATCGTCAGTTGGCTTTGTTTATCTGGAGTGAGCATTAGTCTCTGCTTTCCAATCTTTCACAATATTCATTGATATGTGAGAGTGGGTGAGCCATGATATTACTAACATATATTTATAGAATAATAATAGTACATTATTTTATTATAACAGCTAAAATAAACATTATTTATTATCTGCTAAAATTTTATCTTTCTTTCTTTCAACACACCGGTCCGTATCCACCGAGGCGGGGTGGCCCAAAAAAAAAACCAAAGTTTCTCCTTTCAAATTTAGTAATATATACAGGAGAAGGGTTACTAGCCCCTTGCTCCCGGCATTTTAGTCGCCTCTTACAACACCATGGCTTACGGAGGAAGAATTCTGTTCCACTTCCCCATGGAGATAAGAGGAAATAAACAAGAACAAGAACTAGAAAGAAAATAGAAGAAAACCCAGAGGGGTGTGTATATATATGCTTGTACATGTATGTGTAGTGTGACCTGAGTGTAAGTAGAAGTAGCAAGACGTACCTGAAATTTTGCATGTTCATGAGACAGAAAAAAGGACACCAGCAATCCTACCATCATGTAAAACAATTACAGGCTTTCGTGTTACACTCACTTGGCAGGATGGTAGTACCTCCCTGGGCAGTTGCTGTCTACCAACCTACTACCTAGGTTTATAACATATATGTTAGTAAATATCACTGCCTCACCCACTCCAATCACACTCAATCTACAATCGCCAAATACAATGAATTATTGTGAAATGTTTCGAAGAGCAGGGAGACTAATGCTCACTCCAGCATAAACAAAGCCACACTGACGATGTGTCAACCACTTCCTCCACCACTGCTTCAACCCTCGTATTTTTGTACAATTTCCTTCTTCAATTCTATCGTATTTATTATTATTATTATTAGCAGTAGCAGAAATGTTTGATTCTTTGCAGTGTTCAAGAGTAAACACATGATGTCACTGTCCAATACCTGTCTAAATAGCCATTCCAATATGCAGTCATAAATGGGTTGACATTATTTATACTGTAGTTTAATAGCAAATAATGAACAAACAAAACACTCACCGGCTGGCTGCTAGTTGTGGGAGGTCGGAGGGAGGGTAGTAGGGACTTGTATGTTATTAAATACCACTACATGTTATTAAGGCATAATGTGTGTATTTAGTACAACTTACGACATTTTCATGTATTTTATGATTGTTCATGGTTCAACAAGTTAAGAAAGCAGTATTGTATTATATTTCCTTACAATATATTGGGGCACCAAACATTCGCGAGACTCTTGATCCCCTAACCTTCGTGAATGTTGAGGGAGACCTGTATAGCATTAGTTGCTTGTCTCTTTTTAATCTAACATATTATTGGTAATTTTATCAATATTTATACATAAATAAGAGTAAAGAAATAAAACTACTGTAATTAGATCTACAAGTATGCTCTTACCTTTCAATTTCGGAGATATATTTAGTGAAGAAAGATCCTTTTTCAAGGAGAATATCTGAAGCAAAGCCGCCAAACAGCAAGCCTTCAGAAACTAGTCTAACAAGGACTTGCCGTGCGATTTCACCCATGTACATTCCGCTGATCATCTTTTCATATCTATTCAGAAGGACAAATATTTTAAATATACATGTACCAAAATTAAATAAATAATTTCTATACATTCATGGCCATGAATAACAGAAATAACTCGTCTCTGCTCCTCGACTTACGATGGTTCAACTTTACAATGGTGCACAAGCACCATCGTAAAGATGAAACTAAAGATAACTACGCAGCATGAAGGCGGCAAGTCCGTAACTTGTATTCATTTATTTACTTTTCAATACTGGTACTAAGTTTGCTACAGTAATTGTTTGTTTATTAACATACTCAGCGACAGTAGTTATTTATTTCTTACTTCTTTAGCATTTCATATTCATCTTATGATGGGTTTGTTGGTACATAACGTCACTAAGTCGAGAAGCACCTGTAATAACCTTATCTATTGTAAAAATTAAAAAAAAAAAAAAAGGTATAGGACATGTAGCATACTACAAAGTTCTGGGTTGCATTGATCAGTAGTGGATTTAGTTATGATTATAATAATAATATAATGGGTCAAGGGTGATTCTACCATCACATCTCGGCCTGATGTCAGGCTTCCCTGTGACTACCTGATTAACAAGCTTGTTGGCAGGTCCATTTAACCATCACAAACTGACTTATCTGACAAAAGTTGCAAGTAGTGGTCCAGTTTTTCCTTAAAAATCTCTACTTTTATCCCAAAAATATTTCTTACATCTTCTGGTAAAAGACTGAAGAATTTTGGACCATGGATGTTGACAGTGTTTGCTAATTGTGTCTATGGCAACTTTGCTTTTCAGTGAGTGCATTTTAGTTTTCCTGTATCTATAAATACAATAAGTTAATATGGTACCCCTATTTTTCACTAGGAAGACTCTGCACTCTTTCCTGTTCTTTCACTCCAGTAACATTCACCTCAATGAAACCCTGGTTAAGATGTTGAATTCACATAATAATGAGTGATACCTGGATACTTAATCAACAAGTTAAAAAGTACCTCTGATGAAACTCCGAAATGGATCAATTTTCAAAGTGCTAAATTTAGCTTACAGTGTAGGTTAACAAAATGTATAACTTTTCTGCTTTAATGCTTAATTAGTAGGCAGTTACATACATGGTAAATTATGTTCACCACATTCTCTAACTCTAGATACCAAAACGTATGGTACCATCCATTATGTGAGACAGTCTCCAATATCATCACTGCCCTAACACTCTTTATCTTCCCTCGTTTCTGATGGTCCCACCTGAGACACAGAATCCCTCTCTGATTTTACAATAACTTTGACTTCCTTTAGCACTCTTCACCACCCTTACCAATTCTTCCTCTATATAGTCTCTGGTCTCTGATTAAGCATATTGACAGTTTTAGCACACCCTACCCTGCAGTACTGTATGACCCTCATGGGTTTAGCACTTTATGATAAAAATACGAGGCAGTACTGAGGTACAAGAGATGCCAATACTACATCTGATACCACAAATTTCACTTTGAAAATATGGAAATAATCAGAACTGATTACAAGAAATGGGTATAAAGAGAGAATATCGTAACTTTATACCCATACTTGTTGTCATTATGCTTCTATAATGCTATTATGTTAACTTGTACTTACAGCTGCTTCCCAGGGTTGACCGATTCACTATCTATGTTGTTGTCATATTCTGTGCGAACAAAGTCCAGGCAGCCATTGTCTCCAAATGCTCCCCATTCTGTGTTGATTACCACCTGAGAAATAATAATCCACCTTAGATATTAACTCAAACAAGGAAACTCCAAGAGTATTATAATATCCTTAAACTGTAAAGTAAAAGGACACAAGTGCAACTAATGTGACATTTAATGTGGCAACGTTTCGCTCCTGGAGAGCGAAACGTTGTCACATTAGTTGCACTTGTGTCCTTTTACTTTACATATTGTCGGTAATTCTACCAACTTTATTACAATCCTTAAACTGAATCAGCATTTTGTTAAGCTACAAATAATAATATACATGGGGGCATGCTCAACCCATTAGTCATACAGCACCTAGAGAATGGGAAAGGTGGTGGGTAGTCAGGTTTCAGAAAAAGAATGGGAGAGTAACTCCAGTTTCATGAATCCAAAATCCTTAAGTTACGAGGAGCAGGTGTTCTGTAGTTTACACATACTATATTCTCTTACTAATAAACACTCACTGCCCTTACTAACTCGACCTCTGTTATACTCTCCACCCTCGCTAGTATCACGTTAGGCATGTTAAACCTTTAGCACACCCTACCCTGCACCACTGTATGACCCTTGTAGGCTTACCACTATGACCCTTGTGGGCTTAGCACTCTATGACCCTTGTGGGTTTAGCGCTTGATTATAATAATAGTCCACTAATGAACTACAAAAAAATGCTGAATGTAAGGTGTCATTATAAGCCTGTTTTATTCAGTTAGAGGCCTATGTGAACTTACTCTCATAGGATCCTTAAAAACTTTACTCATATGAACTGTAGTACATCGTTATTATCAGGTCATGAAGCTGTCAACAGAACTCATCCTTCAGAGTACAGTGACTGTACTCGTGAGGATGTTGCAGGTCAGAGGTCATTGAGTTATGATGTCCGTACATTTCTGGCAAGACATCTGTTCAATAAATGATGTTGAATGTGCATCAATCTTTGGAACTGAAGATGTTCAGTGTAGTAAAATATATTATATATAACATAAATGACTGAAAATTCTTAGGAATCTATCATGATTGAAAGCTGCCGCTAATACCAGCGAGTCTTCAGCTGTAATAACAGTACCATGACAAGAGGGCCCTTCATATATACAGTGGACCCCCGCATAACGATTACCTCCGAATGCGACCAATTATGTAAGTGTATTTATGTAAGTGCGTTTGTACGTGTATGTTTGGGGGTCTGAAATGGACTAATCTACTTCACAATATTTCTTATGGGAACAAATTTGGTCAGTACTGGCACCTGAACATACTTCTGGAATGAAAAAATATCGTTAACCGGGGGTCCACTGTAGTACCTATTTTCAGTATTCCCCATTTTCATTGGCTTTCAATTGAGCCATTGTTTCACTGCCACTGGGTGGAAAATAATGAACAATGGCTCGGTTTGAAGCCAACATTAATGTGGGACACAGAAAAGGTGCTGTATATGCAGGGCCCTGTACTAGTATGGTTACTAATTACGGAAAACCACTGGTATATGTAATTTGGCAATTTCCAAAGCTTTCTTATTCAATTCACAACTAACCCACAATTTGGGGAAGAAGTCTGAGACTCTCCTGGACCATTATACAAGATCCAGAATGAACAAAATGTCACTTGAAGTTTCCTTTCAGAATAGTGGGTTACTTGTGTACTGTTCCAGCCACAGCATACGTGACTTCAATTCTTGCTTATTCTACGTTATTATGATCATGCCACAAATAACCTTTGTATTTGTAGTTCCATGCACTCCTTCCACAGTGAAGCAGCCAGTGTGCAAGACTCAAAATGATCACACTTGAATGCAATTCTTTAACATTTAATTTGCAGATACAGTATTAATAATGTACTGGCAAGTGAACGAGCAAAAGTGTTAGCAAGAGAAAGGGCTGATAAATTCTTAGTGAGCAAGAAGACGAGCAAACGAGCAGAAAAGCGGATGATGTGGCAAGCGAAATATTTAATTCTATTAAATTAAAAATGTTTATTTAAAATTTATTAGGAAGGAAACCAAATTCCTCCCTATGTGGCATAAAGCACTTCCATAAAGCCCACCCTAAATGGTCAGGCAACTTAACCTTGCTTACCCCACAACCTAATTTTTTTGTTCACTATCCTACCCCAGTCCTTTCCCCATTCTTGCCCTTCATCTCTTGGCCTAAGAAAAAATAAATAAATGCAAAAATAGAATGAACAGGAGGAAGTGTGTAAAGAGATCATGTGTAATGATGCCACCCTGTCCCTAAATCCTCCCTTCCCTCACTATTAATTATTTCCCAACCTAATCCATTTCCTCCTCAACCAGTCTCTCCAGTTATCATGCAATACACAAATAACCCGCACATAAAAGAGAGAAGCTTACGACGACGTTTCGGTCCGACTTGGACCATTGACAAAGTCACAGTGTAACTTTGTCAATGGTCCAAGTCGGACCAAAACGTCGTCGTAAGCTTCTCTCTTTTATGTGCGGGTTATTTGTGTATCGTTCCAGTCACGGTATTGTGCCTTTTTGTTATTTATCATGCAATATAATACAATGGAGAGAGAAGGAGGGAGGAGAGGAGAGGATGGCAAGCAGTACTTTTATATACAAGCAAGACAAAGCATTTCATTCATGTTGTGGCCACACTGGAGTGCCGGCCTACTACTACACCTCCTCAACATGTTTTTTTTTTTTTGTCAAAGAAGAAGGTGCGGATTTGGTGAGGAAAAGATGGTCGGAGTGGAGGGTGAGGTGAGGAAGGATTTGGTGATGGATGACATCATGACAGATGATGTCTTGACACTTCTCCTTCAAAAGACTGGCCCAAAAAATCTCTACACTCACGGAGCGGCTGACAAAAATCTGGAATGGATAAAATGAAGGCTGAAATAGAATACATCTAGAGTAATATTTTATGAGAAATGTTGCAGGGATCCTTTCTAGAACCAATACATCATGAAAACATCTCAAAAACACAACCACATTTAAGTTAAGAGGGACTAGTACACACTTCAACACAAAAATGACATAATTTTACATATGGTCAGTTGACTAGCAAGTGTAATAATGTGATATACAGTAGTCCTCCCCGTATTTGTGGGGGATACATTCCAATTCCTACCATGGATGCCTGAAACTGAGGATAGTAATCAATGCTACAAATAAGTCGTTTTTCGTTTATGTACATACCTATGATGAAATTAATTGATAAATTATGTATAATAAGTCAAGAATTAGTACTTTTTTCATTGATGGGAAGCACTTCCCGGCTTCTCTTACATTTTGAAAAACTGTCGCCATCACTACTTTTGCACTTTGAGGCCGTTTTAAAGCAAAATTAAGGTTTATTTTCAGGCCACAGTAAACCATGGAAACCGAATCCATGGATACGGGGGTTCTACTGTACTTTATTAAACCCAAAACTGGAATAAGAAGTCACAATGAATGAGGGGTTGGGATATTTGCAGTCTGGAGGAGCACTTGAACTGTAGCATCGGCATGCCTCTGGCAAGACAGTGACGAAGCCAGTGATGATTAAAGTGCTTCTTCTTTTTCAGGTCACCCAGCCTCGGTCAGGAGACAGCCAATGCGTTAATAAAAAAAAAAAAATTTCCCTCGCACCAAACCTGATTACCCACACTCTTCCCAATGTCCAGGTACTATACGACCTTCAGGGGGCTTAATAATAATAACAAAAAAATTACTATACTGTACTTCAAGAGTCATGGTACCTCTGCTACTAGTTAGAAAGTAATGGGAATAATTTCATGCATTACTGGCATAAAACAGATTAGTAAAAAATAAAAGTCGCAAGACCATGGCTGGAACAATTCACTGGACTGTGATTGCAACAACATACTGGATCGTGATTGGAACAATTCACTGGATTGTGATTGGGACAATTCACAACTAACCCATGCTTCGGAGAGGATACCTTAGAGTTTCTGTCTATCCTGGACCATAATCAAGACGAGTCTAACTTAATAATGTTCCACTATGAACAATGAACCAAATTGTCATGGACTGTTCCATCTCCAAAATGTGGATTAGTTGTAAAGACATTAGTAATCACTACGTACCCCAAGAGTGGCATATAAGCCACACTTGACAGATATCAGTACTCACTACATACCCCAGAAACTTCAATGTGAGTGTCGCCATCCTTGAGAGTGCATGAGTGAAGAAACAATGAAATACAACACACAGTGTCAAATATTCAGAGTCAAGAAGAATAACACTAAGAGAAGAGGTGAGTGAAGGAGGTCCACAAGGAAGGGGGTGAGTGAAGGATCCATGAGGAAGGGGTGTGAGGGGGTAAGGGTGAGTGAAGGGGTACATAATTATGGAAGGGTTGTGGGGGGGAGGCGAGTTAAGGTTAGAGCTGGATTAAGATTTTGTAGGCCCCTGGGCTATAGGTACTGTGAGCCCCCTGGGCTACAGGTACTGTGAGGCCCCTGGGCTATAGGTACTGTGAGCCCCCTGGGCTACAGGTACTGTGAGGCCCCTGGACTACAGGTACTGTGAGGCTCCTGGACTACAGGTACTGTGAGGCCCCTGGACTACAGGTACTGTGAGGCCCCTGCACTACAGGTACTGTGAGGCTCTGGACTACAGGTACTGTGAGGCCCCTGGGCTACAGGTACTGTGAGGCCCCTGGACTACAGGTACTGTGAGGCTCCTGGACTACAGGTACTGTGAGGCCCCTGGGCTATAGGTAACTGTGAGCCCCTGGGCTACAGGTTTCTGTGAGGCCCCTGGACTACAGGTACTGTGAGGCTCCTGGACTACAGGTACTGTGAGGCCCCTGGACTACAGGTACTGTGAGGCCCCTGGACTACAGGTACTGTGAGGCTCCTGGACTACAGGTACTGTGAGGCCCCTGGACTAAGGTACTGTGAGGCCCCTGGACTACAGGTACTGTGAGGCTCCTGGACTACAGGTACTGTGAGGCCCCTGGGCTACAGGTACTGTGAGGCCCCTGGACTACAGGTACTGTGAGGCTCCTGGGCTACAGGTACTGTGAGGCCCCTGGACTACAGGTACTGTGAGGCCCCTGGACTACAGGTACTGTGAGGCCCCTGGGCTACAGGTACTGTGAGGCCCCTGGACTACAGGTACTGTGAGGCTCCTGGACTACAGGTACTGTGAGGCCCCTGGGCTACAGGTACTGTGAGGCCCCTGGACTACAGGTACGTTGAGGCCCCTGGACTACAGGTACTGTGAGGCCCCTGGACTACAGGTACTGTGAGGCCCCTGGACTACAGGTACTGTGAGGCCCCTGGGCTACAGGTACTGTGAGGCTCCTGGACTACAGGTACTGTGAGGCCCCTGGACTACAGGTACTGTGAGGCTCCTGGACTACAGGTTACTGTGAGGCCCCTGGACTACAGGTACTGTGAGGCTCCCGGACTACAGGTACTGTGAGGCCCCTGGACTACAGGTACTGTGAGGCTCCTGGACTACAGGTACTGTGAGGCCCCTGGGCTACAGGTACTGTGAGGCCCCTGGACTACAGGTACTGTGAGGCCCCTGGACTACAGGTACTGTGAGGCTCCTGGACTACAGGTTTCTGTGAGGCCCCTGGGCTACAGGTACTGTGAGGGCCCTGGACTACAGGTACTGTGAAGGCCCTGGAATACAGGTACTGTGAGGCTCCTGGACTACAGGTACTGTGAGGCCCCTGGACTACAGGTACTGTGAGGCCCCTGGGCTACAGGTACTGTGAGGCCCCTGGACTACAGGTACTGTGAGGCTCCTGGACTACAGGTACTGTGAGGCTCCTGGACTACAGGTACTGTGAGGCCCCTGGACTACAGGTACTGTGAGGCCCCTGGGCTACAGGTACTGTGAGGCCCCTGGGCTACAGGTACTGTGAGGCCCCTGGACTACAGGTACTGTGAGGCTCCTGGACTACAGGTACTGTGAGGCCCCTGGACTACAGGTACTGTGAGGCTCCTGGACTACAGGTACTGTGAGGCCCCTGGACTACAGGTACTGTGAGGCCCCTGGACTACAGGTACTGTGAGGCCCCTGGACTACAGGTACTGTGAGGCCCCTGGACTACAGGTACTGTGAGGCCCCTGGACTACAGGTACTGTGAGGCCCCTGGACTACAGGTACTGTGAGGCCCCTGGACTACAGGTACTGTGAGGCCCCTGGACTACAGGTACTGTGAGGCCCCTGGACTACAGGTACTGTGAGGCCCCTGGACTACAGGTACTGTGAGGCCCCTGGACTACAGGTACTGTGAGGCTCCTGGGTACAGGTACTGTGAGGCTCCTGGACTACAGGTACTGTGAGGCCCCTGCACTACAGGTACTGTGAGGCCCCTGGGCTACAGGTACTGTGAGGCCCCTGGACTACAGGTACTGTGAGGTCCCTGGACTACAGGTACTGTGAGGCCCCTGGACTACAGGTACTGTGAGGTCCCTGGACTACAGGTACTGTGAGGCCCCTGGACTACAGGTACTGTGAGGCCCCTGGACTACAGGTACTGTGAGGCCCCTGGGCTACAGGTACTGTGAGGCCCCTGGACTACAGGTACTGTGAGGCCCCTGGACTACAGGTACTGTGAGGTCCCTGGACTACAGGTACTGTGAGGCCCCTGGACTACAGGTACTGTGAGGCCCCTGGGCTACAGGTACTGTGAGGCCCCTGGGCTACAGGTACTGTGAGGTCCCTGGACTACAGGTACTGTGAGGTCCCTGGACTACAGGTACTGTGAGGCCCCTGGACTACAGGTACTGTGAGGCCCCTGGACTACAGGTACTGTGAGGCCCCTGGGCTACAGGTACTGTGAGGCCCCTGGACTACAGGTACTGTGAGGTCCCTGGGGCATACAGGTACTGTGAGGCCCCTGGACTACAGGTACTGTGAGGCTCCTGGGCTACAGGTACTGTGAGGCTCCTGGACTACAGGTACTGTGAGGCCCCTGCACTACAGGTACTGTGAGGCCCCTGGACTACAGGTACTGTGAGGCCCCTGGGCTACAGGTACTGTGAGGCCCCTGCACTACAGGTACTGTGAGGCTCCTGGACTACAGGTACTGTGAGGCCCCTGGACTACAGGTACTGTGAGGCCCCTGGGCTACAGGTACTGTGAGGCCCCTGGACTACAGGTACTGTGAGGTCCCTGGACTACAGGTACTGTGAGGCCCCTGGACTACAGGTACTGTGAGGCCCCTGGACTACAGGTACTGTGAGGCCCCTGGGCTACAGGTACTGTGAGGCCCCTGGGCTACAGGTACTGTGAGGCCCCTGGACTACAGGTACTGTGAGCCCCCTGGGCTACAGGTACTGTGAGGCCCCTGGACTACAGGTACTGTGAGGCCCCTGGGCTACAGGTACTGTGAGGCCCCTGGGCTACAGGTACTGTGAGGCCCCTGCACTACAGGTACTGTGAGGCCCCTGGACTACAGGTACTGTGAGGCTCCTGGACTACAGGTACTGTGAGGCCCCTGGACTACAGGTACTGTGAGGCCCCTGGACTACAGGTACTGTGAGGCTCCTGGACTACAGGTTTCTGTGAGGCCCCTGGACTACAGGTACTGTGAGGCCCCTGGACTACAGGTACTGTGAGGCCCCTGGACTACAGGTACTGTGAGGCCCCTGGACTACAGGTACTGTGAGGCCCTGGACTACAGGTACTGTGAGGCCCCTGGACTACAGGTACTGTGAGGCCCCTGGACTACAGGTACTGTGGGCCCCTGGACTACAGGTACTGTGAGGCTCCTGGACTACAGGTACTGTGAGGCCCCTGGACTACAGGTACTGTGAGGCTCCTGGACTACAGGTACTGTGAGGCCCCTGGACTACAGGTACTGTGAGGCCCCTGGACTACAGGTACTGTGAGGCCCCTGGACTACAGGTACTGTGAGGCCCCTGGACTAAAAGGTACTGTGAGGCCCTGGACTACAGGTACTGTGAGGCCCCTGGACTACAGGTACTGTGAGGCCCCTGGACTACAGGTACTGTGAGGCCCCTGGACTACAGGTACTGTGAGGCTCCTGGACTACAGGTACTGTGAGGCCCCTGGACTACAGGTACTGTGAGGCCCCTGGACTACAGGTACTGTGAGGCCCCTGGACTACAGGTACTGTGAGGCTCCTGGACTACAGGTACTGTGAGGCCCCTGGACTACAGGTACTGTGAGGCCCCTGGACTACAGGTACTGTGAGGCCCCTGGACTACAGGTACTGTGAGGCTCCTGGACTACAGGTACTGTGAGGCCCCTGGACTACAGGTACTGTGAGGCCCCTGGACTACAGGTACTGTGAGGCCCCCTGTAATATTTTCAAAAGAAAAAACGATTAATTACAACAATCAACAGTTCATCATATAAGTGATGTAATAACATACAATAATTATTAACGTCCTAGGTAGTAGGCTGGTAAACAGCAACAGTCCAGGGAGGTACTACGATTCTGCCAAGTGAGAGTAAAACGTAAACCTGTAATTGTTTTACATGGTAGGCTTGCTGGTGTCTTTTTTTGGTCTCATAAACATGTAAGATTTCATTTATATCTTGTGGGTGTGTGTATATACATATGTAAAAGCACACATATACACACCCCTCTGGGTTTCCTCTTTTCTTACCAGTTCTTGCTTATTTCCTCATATCTCCATGGGAAAGTGGAACAGAATTCTTCCTCCATAAGCCATGTGTGTCATAAGAGGCAACTAACATGATAGGAGCAAGGAGCTAGTAACCCCTTCTCCTGTGTACATTACTGAATTTAAAAAAGAGAAACTTTTGTTTTCTTTTTGGGCCACTCTCCCTTGGTAGGATACAGCCGGTTTGATGACAGCAGAAGAATTAAAGACTTATAGCAGTAACTGTGAACACTTTTCACTTATTCTCTGAAGGCCCTCCAGCTGGCAGACACCACTGGGTTGCATCCCTGGAGGCCCTGCAGCTGGCAGACACCCCTTGGCTGCAGCCCCTAGCTGGCAGAGGCCCCTGGGCTGCAGGCCCTAAAGCCCATGCCTTAATCCAGCTCTGGGTGAGGGAAACCATACCCCGGCCGGGATTGAACCCGCGGTCAGAGAGTCTCAAAACTCCAGCCCGTTGCGGTTTGTTTGCAATCGTGTCATTATGATTTCGTGAGTCATGTTGATGGCAGTGAAAGGACTTGAGCTAGAGTTCGTCACGGCCACACTAGCT